GACACTGGAGCGAGCTCTGGGGCTGAAGCCGACACCCTTCTCCTCGCCCCTAGCATCCTCTTCTGGATCGGGGGGAAAAGGCGTGGTCGGCGAACTGGAGTGTTGAACGTCTGGCGGGCTTGCCACATTAATGTCCTGTGGGCTTGCCATATGCGTGGCTAGCGGGCTGGAGATAGCCCCGGCTGACAGGCCTGCCATCGGCCTGGCCAGCAGGCTGGAGATAGCCCCGGCTGGTGGGCTTGACATAGAAACCGCCGGCGGGCTTGCCACATTAATGTTTGGTTGGCTTGCCATATGCGGGGCCGGCGAGTTTGACTTGGCGCGGCTGGCAAGCTTTACACTGGTAGGGGTTCTGAGCGTCGGGCGGGCTTGTCTTCGGCGAGGACAGCGGGCTGGAGATAGCCCCGGCTGACAGGCCTGCCATCGGCCTGGTCAGCGGGCTGGAAATAGCCCCGGCTGGCGGGCTTACCACATTAATGTCCGGTGGGCTTGCCATATGCGGGTGCGGCTGGCGGGCAGGACAACGGCGTGGCCAATGCGCTGGGTCTTCGGAGCGGTCGGCAGGCTTGTCTTCGGCGCGGCCAGTGGGCTGAGGTGAGCCGCAGCTGGCAGGCATGACAACAGCGCGGCTGGCACACTTCACAGCTCGGCGGTCTTCTTACTGCGGGGACAAACAGGGGAGAAAAAGAAAAACAAAAGACTGTTCAAAAACGAAAATAAAACACGGGAGAAGGAGCGCCGCTTACTGTTTTGGGTCAGTCATTCTGTCACGCTTAAAGTCTCATGATTTATTTCCAGAACATGATGCATGATGGGATACACTAAGCCTCGAATAGCGCTCCGGAGCGGTATTCGAGATAGTGTGGATTTAGTGTGCTTTAAGGGCACTGCGCTTTGGCGTTTTTAAGACCTGGGACAGTCTTGCGCACTTACTTCCTGTCGCACGCACGCGCTCTCAAGTGGCCAAGACCGCAAGTGTGGGTATTTGGACAAGGCTAGAGAAACTAGATGATGGAGCAGATAGGGAGCAAAGACACACACAAAACCTGGCCCAGAGTCTGACAGTATGTGTCAGACAATCACACTTGAAATAACCACACATATTTTAAAGAATACAAAGTACTTTGTTAAATTACTTTTTCACAAATCATTCCCTCCCTATATAATTCTCTGAAAAAATAGATGACATTTCTTTTAAACACCGCAAATTCTATGGCGTTATGCAAGCATTCACCAACATATAAATTATCTTGACTAAAACTACATGCTACAAAATCATTGTTAAAAATATTTACAGTGATGACTACTGTATGAATAAAAACAGTATTATATAACTAACACATTACACTGAATAACTATAATATTATTCAAATTTAAAATCTGAAATATAGATTCAGTGTTAACTATTTGTGCTGTGCACAACACCAAAGCGAATATAAAGCAAATATAAAAATCTAAATGACTATTTGAAACATTTACAAACTGTTCAGAAAGCAGCAGCTGCTTTGTTTACGTGGTTACCGGGGTAAGGGATTAATTTTTTAGTTCAATCAGCGCCCTCTACTGTCTTGCATTTTCATTCAAAGCGGACTAATTTGTGTTTCTAGTACGTTATTTAAATCTACAAAAATTGTTACAAATATTTACAGTGATGACTACTGTATGAATAAAAGCAGTATTATATAGCTAACACATTACACTGAATAACTGTAATATTATTCAAATTTAAAATCTGAAATATAGATTCAGTGTTAACTATTTGTGCTGTGCACAACACCAAAGCGAATATAAAGCAAATATAAAAATCTAAATGACTATTTGAAACATTTACAAACTGTTCAGAAAGCAGCAGCTGCTTTGTTTACGTGGTTACCGGGGTAACGGATTAATTTGAGTTCAATCAGCGCCCTCTACTGTCTTGCATTTACAGTCTTACGTTATTTAAAATAAATCGTCATCCTTTTAAAGTTCAGTAAACATATTAGTCTGTATCTATGTTTTTACATCCCTCAATTAAAAAGTTTCTTATAAGCTACCATTTACTCACCCATGCACCTAAATACAATTTCCAATTCGCACACATCTATTTTTAATCGTAAATTCCAGTAAAATACCCGCACTGGCGATTTTATCTTCTTGGGCGGGTCGCAATTTTATATATCATGTATTACATGGCTATGATGAGTAAATCATAGACTAATTTTCATTTTAAAGTAAACTAATTCTTCAAAAGGCTTTTTTTTTTCAAAGGAGTAACTGTAAATTTGTCCCGACTTGACAATGTAAATGATATTGACAATTCAAGTGGCTGTGCATTTATTTGTATTTTTAACTGGATGGGAGCGAAATGAAACTGTCTGAACCCGAAGCTGTCCGTGTTGTCTGTCTCCCCGCTTCCCCCTCTGCTCCGCATGTTGACACATAATTACATGAATTACACTAATCACCAAATGTATTACTTACGGTTGACAACTGAAAATCATGTCGAACCGCCTCCACCTCTTCATCGTTTATCCCAATAAATTTACTCGGGGAAAAATCAGCCATTATCTGACATATAACAGAGTATTCAGTTAATCAACTATAAACAATATTCACGCTTATACTTAATCAATAAACTAACACAAATCATACTTATCTTAACGAAAAAAGTTAAAACACGGCAATACGAACACTCCTGCTTACCTCGGCAATGCACCCTCCAATCTGACACTGACTCAAGAAAAACCCGCCTAATTAAAAAAAAATCCCGCGTAATTCTCGCAGGAAACAGTGGTTTAAATTTGAAAATTATAAAAATGATTTCCTGTATGTGTCAGACAAACACACTTGAAATAACCACACATTTTAAAAGTAAATTTTTAAAGGATACAAAGTACTTTGTTAAATTACTTTAAACAAATCATTCCCTCCCTATATAATTATCTGAAAAAATAGATGACATTTATTTTAAACACCGCAAATTATATGGCATTATGCAAGCATTCCCCAACATATAAATTATCTCGACTAAAACTACATGCTACAAAAATTGTTACAAATATTTACAGTGATGACTACTGTATGAATAAAAGCAGTATTATATAGCTAACACATTACACTGAATAACTGTAATATTATTCAAATTTAAAATCTGAAATATAGATTCAGTGTTAACTATTTGTGCTGTGCACAACACCAAAGCGAATATAAAGCAAATATAAAAATCATTTGAAACATTTGAAACATTTACAAACTGTTCAGAAAGCAGCAGCTGCTTTGTTTACGTGGTTACCGGGGAATTTGAGTTCTGTTCAGAAAGCAGCAGCTGCTTTGTTTACGTGGTTACCGGGGTAACGGATTAATTTGAGTTCAATCAGCGCCCTCTACTGTCTTGCATTTACAGTCTTACGTTATTTAAAATAAATCGTCATCCTTTTAAAGTTCAGTAAACATATTAGTCTGTATCTATGTTTTTACATCACTCAATTAAAACGTTTTTTTATAAACTACCATTTACTCACCCATGCTCCTAAATACAATTTCCAATTCGCACACATCTATTATATCCAGTAAATCCAGTAAAATACCCACACTGGCGATTTTATCTTCTTGGGCGGGTCGCAATTTTATATAACATGGCTATCATGGCTATGACGAGTAAATCATAAACTAATTTTCAATTTAAAGTAAACCAATTCTTCAAAAGGCTTTTTTTTTTTTATCAAAGGAGTAACTGTAAATTTGTCCCGACTTGACAGTGCAAATGACATTGACAATTCAAGTGGCTGTGCATTTATTTGTATTTTTAACTGGATGGGAGCGAAATGAAACTGTCTGAACCCGAAGCTGTCCGTGTTGTCTGTCTCCCCGCTTCCCCCTCTGTTCCGCAGCGCAACACGCCCACTTTCTTTAGCGTTTTTTAAAACTATGGTGAGAACTAATCAATGCTGAAATAGGGGGTCATGACCCTTTAACTCCACCCCTTACTGTTGACTCCTACTTTAACGTCTAAAAGCCAACCTTACATAGATTTATCTAAAGGTTACCTTTCTCACCACTCACGCTTCTTCTGATGCATCCTAAAGGCAACTATGGAACAACAAGGTAACTTAGCATAATACCACATTTCATACAGCCTCTCTGAAAATATACATACTGTTCCTCTCATATAACCTTCTCTGTCTCTCTATAGAAGAAACATCAATAACATCTACAATCAACAAAAGAACTTTCCACTGTTCCTCTCATATAACCTTCTCTGTCTCTCTATAGAAGAAACGGCAATAACATCTACAATGAACAAAAGAAATTTCCACGTACCCCAAGGTAAGCAATAAATATTTGCACTAGTAACATCAAGGCTCTACTCTTACTTTTATTTTAATTATTTTTTAATTATTATAAAAAAATCAGGAGCACCTTCTGATCAATAACAAAAATTAGCCTTCCCATTACAAGATAATATTTGACTCCTTAAAGTCATTTACAGGAGCATTTTTAAAACTTTCTAATGGCATATTATTGAAAGTATTTATCATATTTATAAGCTTTTTTCAAATTTTCTAATTAAAACAATAGAATAAGAATAAGTTAGGCTACTGATCAAAAACAATCAGTATTAACAAAATTCATTTGCACAGACGTGCATGGCACAGAAGAACACAAAAGTGGCTTACAGGTATATTTACAGACATTTAATGAGGCTCAGTGGTGGTATGAGTGCAATTAAATTCATAAATCCATGTTGAGATTAATATTTTAAATATAAAATTTGAATATAAAAATATTAAAAGATTTAAATAACTTAATACTTTAAAAATGAAAAGTCACTGTTTTATTACTGAATCATTCATTCAATTGATTCGTTCAAACGACTGATTCATTCAGGAACAAAGCAAGTTACTGTCTTTATGGCCCCCAGAATAACATAGGTTTCATAATTAATTGGATGAGTTTTTGGGGCAGACCTGACCTGTTGAAAAGAGATGGTCTTCATCCCTCCTGGGGTGGTGCCGCTCTTCTGTTAAGAAATATGGCACATAGTCTTAGAGTTTGTACTTGACTAACTGCTGTCATTTTGCATTATTGACACACTATTTTCCTAATTAATGCTGTTCAGTTGCTTTGACACAATCTGTATTGTTAAAAGCGCTATATAAATAAAATAAAGGTGACTTGATACTTTAAAAATGAAAAGTCACTGTTTTATTACTGAATCATTCATTCAATTGATTCGTTCAAACGACGTGAACTGCAAGCAAGTGACTGTCTTTATGAACGGGTAGTTGAATCATTGACTCACTAGATTCATTTAAAAATGCAGGTTCATTCATAAACAAAACACCAGTTTTTGCTTAGAGATGCACTGCGGATTAGCTGTGACTTTCTTCAAACTATTTTCATTCACAAAATAGAACAAAATCAGGCAATAATGTTGTAGTCAGACAATATAACTCACTTAATATTAAATTCCTCTTTATACACCTTGAACTTTATTTTATTAAATCAATATCATATTTACAAACTCCAGTGAATCTCTTATTTACATCATGTGTTTGTTATCATAAAAGGATTCGTGAGCTTGCATATCTCAGCACTCTACAAAACAGTGTTTTGAGCAGTGAGTGAATTCTG